GTGTTATGGCTACCTCGGTCGGGAACGTGTGAGTGTTATGGCTACCTTGGCGGGAACACGTAGAGTGTTATGGTTTACCTCGGGCAGGAACATGTGACTTTTATGGCTACCTCGGTGGGAACACGTGTTATGGCTACCGCGGTCAGGAACACCTGAATGTTATGGCTACCTTGGGCGGGAACACGTGAGTGTTATGGCTACCTCGGGCATGTGAGTGTTAAGGCTACATCGGGCGAGAACACCCGAGTGTTATGGTAACTTGGGGAAGAAAATAAAAGTGTCCGCATGATTACCTGGGGTGTGAACATGTGAGTGTCATGGTTACCTGGGATGTGAAGATGTGAGTGTCATGGTTACCTGGGATGTGAACATGTGAGTGTCGTGCTTACCTTTGATGTGAACATGTGAGTGTCATGCTTACCTGGGGTGTGAACATGTGAGTGTCATGCTTACGTGGGATGTGAACGTTTGAGTGTCATGGTTACCTGTGATGTGAACATGTGAGTGTCATGCTTACCTGGGGTGTGAACATGTGAGTGTCATGGTTACCTGGGATGTGAACATGTGAGTGTCATGGTTACCTGGGATGTGAACATGTGAGTGTTATATGGTTACCTGGGGTGTGTGACATGTGAGTGTCATGCTTACCTGGGATGTGAACATGTGAGTGTCCTGCTTACCTGGGATGTGAACATGTGAGTGTCATGCTTACCTGGGATGTGAACATGTGAGTGTCATGGTTACCTGGGATGTGAACATGTGAGTGTCATGCTTACCTGGGGTGTGAACATGTGAGTGTCATGGTTACCTGGGATGTGAACATGTGAGTGTCATGCTTACCTGGGATGTGAACATGTGAGTGTCATGGTTACCTGGGATGTGAACATGTGAGTGTCATGCTTACCTGGGATGTGAACATGTGAGTGTCATGGTTACCTGGGATGTGAACATGTGAGTGTCATGCTTACCTGAGGTGTGAACATGTGAGTGTCATGGTTACCTGGGATGTGAACATGTAGGTGTGATGGTTACCTGGGATGTGAACATGTGACGTCATCCTTACCTATACCGGGTGTGAACATGTGAGTGTCATGCTTACCTGGGATGTGAACATGTGAGTGTCATGGTTACCTGGGATGTGAACATGTGAGTGTCATGGTTACCTGGGATGTGAACATGTGAGTGTCATGCTTACCTGGGGTGGAAACATGTGAGCGTCATGCTTACCTGGGGTGTGAAGATGTGAGAGTCTTGGTTACCTGGGATGTGAACATGTGAGTGTCATGCTTACCTGGGTTGTGAACATGTGAGTGTCGGGATGTGAACATGTGAGTGTCATGGTTACCTGGGATGTGAACATGTGAGTGTCATGGTTACCTGGGGTGTGAACATGTGAGTGTCATGGTTACCTGGGATGTGAACATGTGAGTGTCATGGTTACCTGGGTTGTGAACATGTGAGTGTCGGGATGTGAACATGTGAGTGTCATGGTTACCTGGGATGTGAACATGTGAGTGTCATGGATTACATGGGGTTGTGAACATGTGAGTGTCATGGTTACCTGGGATGTAAACATGTGAGTGCCATGGTTACCTGGGGTGGGAACATGTGAGTGTCATGCTTACCTGGGGTGTGAACATGTGAGTGTCATGGTTACCTGGGATGTGAACATGTGAGTGTCATGGTTACCTGGGAAGTGAACATGTGAGTGTCATGGTTACATGGGGTGTGAACATGTGAGTGTCATGGTTACCTGGGGTGTGAACATGTGAGTGTCATGGTTACCTGGGTTGTGAACATGTGAGTGTCGGGATGTGAACATGTGAGTGTCATGGTTACCTGGGTTGTGAACATGTGAGTGTCATGGTTACCTGGGATGTGAACATGTGAGTGTCATGCTTACCTGGGATGTGAACATGTGAGTGTCTTGGTTACCTGGGATGTGAACATGTGAGAGTCATGCTTACCTGGGATGTGAACATGTGAGTGTCCTGCTTACCTGGGATGTGAACATGTGAGTGTCATGCTTACCTGGAGTGGGAACATGTGAGTGTCATGCTTACCTGGGGTGTGAACATGTGAGTGTCATGGTTACCTGGGATGTGAACATGTGAGTGTCATGGTTACCTGGGTTGTGAACATGTGAGAGTCGGGATGTGAACATGTGAGTGTCATGGTTACCTGGGGTGTGAACATGTGAGTGTCATGCTTACCTGGGGTGTGAACATGTGAGTGTCATGGTTACCTGGGATGTGAACATGTGAGTGTCATGGTTACCTTGGATGTGAACATGTGAGTGTCATGCTTACCTGGGATGTGAACATGTGAGTGTCATGGTTACCTGGGATGTGAACATGTGAGTGTCATGCTTACCTGAGGTGTGAACATGTGAGTGTCATGTTTACCTGGGATGTGAACATGTGAGTGTCATGCTTACCTGGGATGTGAACATGTGAGTGTCATGGTTACCTGGGATGTGAACATGTGAGTGTCATGCTTACCTGGGATGTGAACATGTGAGTGTCATGGTTACCTGGGATGTGAACATGTGAGTGTCATGCTTACCTGAGGTGTGAACATGTGAGTGTCATGGTTACCTGGGATGTGAACATGTGAGTGTCATGGTTACCTGGGATGTGAACATGTGAACGTCATCCTTACCTGGGGTGTGAACATGTGAGTGTCATGGTTACCTGGGATGTGAACATGTGAGTGTCATGGTTACCTGGGATGTGAACATGTGAGTGTCATGCTTACCTGGGATGTGAACATGTGAGTGTCATGCTTACCTGGGGTGGAAACATGTGAGCGTCATGCTTACCTGGGGTGTGAAGATGTGAGAGTCTTGGTTACCTGGGATGTGAACATGTGAGTGTCATGCTTACCTGGGTTGTGAACATGTGAGTGTCTGGGATGTGAACATGTGAGTGTCATGGTTACCTGGGATGTGAACATGTGAGTGTCATGGTTACCTGGGGTGTGAACATGTGAGTGTCATGGTTACCTGGGATGTGAACATGTGAGTGTCATGGTTACCTGGGTTGTGAACATGTGAGTGTCGGGATGTGAACATGTGAGTGTCATGGTTACCTGGGATGTGAACATGTGAGTGTCATGGTTACCTGGGTTGTGAACATGTGAGTGTCATGGTTACCTGGGATGTAAACATGTGAGTGCCATGGTTACCTGGGGTGGGAACATGTGAGTGTCATGCTTACCTGGGGTGTGAACATGTGAGTGTCATGGTTACCTAAGATGTGAACATGTGAGTGTCATGGTTACCTGGGGAAGTGAACATGTGAGAGGTGTCATGAAGGTTACATGGGGTGTGAACATGTGAGTGTCCGCTGGTTACCTGAGGTGTGAACATGTGAGTGTCATGGTTACCTGGGTTGTGAACATGTGAGTGTCGGGATGTGAACATGTGAGTGTCATGGTTACCTGGGTTGTGAACATGTGAGTGTCATGGTTACCTGGGATGTGAACATGTGAGTGTCATGTGGGATTTACCTGAGGATGTGAACATGTGAGTGTCTTGGTTACCTGGGATGTGAACATGTGAGAGTCATGCTTACCTGGGATGTGAACATGTGAGTGTCCTGCTTACCTGGGATGTGAACATGTGAGTGTCGTGGTTACCTGGAGTGGGAACATGTGAGTGTTATGCTTAACTGGGGTGTGAACATGTGAGTGTCATGGTTACCTGGGATGTGAACATGTGAGTGTCATGGTTACCTTTGTTGTGAACATGTGAGAGTCGGGATGTGAACATGTGAGTGTCATGGTTACCTGGGGTGTGAACATGTGAGAGTGTCATGGTTACCTGGGGGTGTGAACATGTGAGTGTCATGGTTACCTGGGATGTGAACATGTGAGGTGTCATGGTTACCTTGGATGTGAACATGTTCCTAGAATATGACATGTCATGCTTACCTGGGATGTGAACATGTGAGTGTCATGGTTACCTGGGGTGTGAACATGTGAGTGTCTTGCTTACCTGGGTTGTGAACATGTGAGTGTCGGGATGTGAAGATGTGAGTGTCATGGTTACCTGGGATGTGAACATGTGAGTGTCATGGTTACCTGGGATGTGAACATGTGAGTGTCATGCTTACCTGGGATGTGAACATGTGAGTGTCATGCTTACCTGGGATGTGAACATGTGAGTGTCATGCTTACCTGGGATGTGAACATGTGAGTGTCATGGTTACCTGGGATGTAAACATGTGAGTGTCATGGTTACCTGGGGTGGGAACATGTGAGTGTCATGATTACCTGGAGTGTGAACATGTGAGTGTCATGGTTACCAGGCATGTGAACATGTGAGTGTCATGGGGTTACCTAACATAAGTGTGAACATGTAGAGGTGGGATGTGAACATGTGAGTGTCATGGTTGTTACCTGGGATGTGAACATGTGAGTATCATGGTTACCTAGATGTGAACATGTGAGTGTCATGCTTACCTAGGATGTGAACATGTGAAGTGTCATGGTTACCTTGGATGTGAACATGTAGGTGTCATGGTTACCTGGGATGTGAACATGTGAGTGTCATGTTTATCTGGGATGTGAACATGTGAGTGTCATGGTTACCTTGGATGTGAACATGTGAGTGTCATGGTTACTAAGGATGTGAACATGTGAGTGTCATAGTTATCTGGGATGTGAACATGTATGAGTGTCAGGGTTTACCTGGTTTGTGAACATGTGAGTGTCTGGGATGTGAACATGTAGAGTGTCATGGTTTACCTAGGGGTTTGTGAACATGTGAGTGTCATTAGTTTACCTGGGATATGAACATGTAGGAGTTGTAATGGTTACCTGGGTGTGTGAACATGTGAGTGTCATGGTTACCAGGGATGTGAACATGTAGGGATGTCATGGATTTACGTCTGGGGGTGTGAACATGTGAGTGTCATGAATTCTGGGGTGTGAACGTGTGAGTGTCATACTTTACCTGGGATGCTTGAACATGTGAGTATCAGATACCTGGGGATGTGAACATGTGAGTGTCATGGTTACTGGGATGTGAACATGTGAGTGTCATGCTTACACTGGCTGTGAACATGTGAGTGGTCATGCTTACCTGTGATGTGAACATGTGAGTGTCATGGTTACCTGGGATGTGAACATGTGGAGTGTCATGCTTACCTGGGATGTGAACATGTGAGTGTCATGCTTACCTGGGATGTGAACATGTGAGTGTCATGGTTACCAGGGATGTGAACATGTGAGTGTCATGGTTACCTGGGATGTTAACATGTGAGTGTCATGCCAATTACCTGGGATGTGAACATGTGAGCGTGATGGTTACCTGGGGTGTGAACATGTGAGTGTCATGGTTACCTGGAGTTGTGAACATGTGAGTGTCATGGTTACCTGGGATGTGAACATGTGAGTGTCATGGTTACCTGGGTTGTGAAACATGTGAGTGTCATGCGTTACCTGGGATGTAAACATGTGAGTGCCATGGTTACCTGGGGGTGGGAACATGTGAGTGTCATGCTTTACCTGGGGTGTGAACATGTGAGTGTCATGGTTACCTGAGGTGTGAACATGAGGAGTGTCATGCTTACCTGGGATGTGAACATGAGTGTCATGATTTACCTGGGATGTGAACACGTGAGTGTCATGGTTGTCTGGGATATTAACATACGTGAGAGTGTCATGCTTACCTGGGTTGTGAACATGTGAGTGTCATGGTTACCTGGGGAAGTGAACATGTGAGTGTCATGGTTACATGGGGTGTGAACATGTGAGTGTCATGGATTTACCTGGGGTGTGAACATGTGAGCGTCATGCCTTACCTGGAATGTGAACATGTGAGTGTCGGACGTGGATGAACATGTGAGGTGTGATGGTTACCTGGGATGTGAACATGTGAGTGTGTGTGGTTACCTGGGGTGTGAACATGTGAGTGTCATGGTTACCTGGGATGTGAACAGTGTCATGAGATGTCATGAGCAGTTATTTACCTGGGGTGTGAACATGTGAGTGTCATGGATACCTGGGATGTGAACATGTGAGTGTCATGGTTACCTGGGGTGTGAACATGTGAGTGTCATGGTTACCTGGGTTGTGAACATGTGAGTGTCATGGTTACCTGGGATGTAAACATGTGAGTGCCATGGTTACCTGGGGTGGGAACATGTGAGTGTCATGCTTACCTGGGGTGTGAACATGTGAGTGTCATGGTTACCTGAGATGTGAACATGTGAGTGTCATGCTTACCTGGGATGTGAACATGTGAGTGTCATGCTTACCTGGGATGTGAACATGTGAGTGTCATGGTTTCCTGGGATATGAACATGTGAATGTCATGTTTTCCTGGGTTGTGAACATGTGAGTGTCATGGTTACCTGGGAAGTGAACATGTGAGTGTCATGGTTACATGGGGTGTGAACATGTGAGTGTCATGGTTACCTGGGGTGTGAACATGTGAGTGTCATGGTTACCTGGGTTGTGAACATGTGAGTGTCGGGATGTGAACATGTGAGTGTCATGGTTACCTGGGTTGTGAACATGTGAGTGTCATGGTTACCTGGGATGTGAACATGTGAGTGTCATGGTTACCTGGGATGTGAACATGTGAGTGTCATGGTTACCTGGGATGTGAACATGTGAGTGTCATGCTTACCTGGGATGTGAACATGTGAGTGTCATGCTTACCTGGGGTGTGAACATGTGAGTGTCATGGTTACCTGGGATGTGAACATGTGAGTGTCATGGTTACCTGGGTTGTGAACATGTGAGTGTCATGGTTACCTGGGATGTGAACATGTGAGTGTCATGGTTACCTGGGATGTGAACATGTGAGTGTCATGGTTACCTGGGGAACATGTGTCATGCTTACATGTGTGAACATGTGAGTGTCATGCTTTACCTGGGATGTGAACATGTGAGTGTCATGCTTACCTGGGATGTGAACATGTGAGTGTCATGGTTACCTGGGATGTGAACATGTGAGTGTCATGGTTACCTGGGATGTGAACATGTGAGTGTCATGGTTACCTGGGGTGTGAACATGTGAGTGTCATGGTTACCTGGGATGTGAACATGTGAGTGTCATGGTTACCTGGGGTGTGAACATGTGAGTGTCATGGTTACCTGGGATGTGAACATGTGAGTGTCATGGTTACCTGGGCTGTGAACATGTGAGTGTCATGGTTAACTGGGATGTGAACATGTGAGTGTCATGCTTACCTGGGGTGTGAACATGTGAGTGTCATGGTTACTTGGGATGTGAACATGTGAGTGTCATGGTTACCTGGGATGTGAACATGTGAGTGTCATGCTTACCTGGGTTGTGAACATGTGAGTGTCATGCTTACCTGGGATGTGAACATGTGAGTGTCATGGTTACCTGGGATGTGAACATGTGAGTGTGATGGTTACCTGGGGTGTGAACATGTGAGTGTCATGGTTACCTGGGGTGGGAACATGTGAGTGTCATGCTTACCTGGGGAGTGAACATGTGAGTGTCGGGATGTGAACATGTGAGGGTCATGGTTACCTGGGATGTGAACATGTGAGTTTCATGTTTACCTGGGGTGTTAATATGTGAGTGTCATGGTTACCAGGGATGTGAACATGTGAGTGTCATGCTTACCTGGGGTGTGAACATGTGAGTGTCATGCTTACCTGGGATGTGAACATGTGAGTGTCATGCTTACCTGGGATGTGAACACGTGAGTGTCATGGTTACCTGAGATGTGAACATGTGAGTGTCATGCTTACCTCGGGAGTGAACATGTGAGTGTCATGGTTACCTGGGATGTGAACATGTGAGTGTCATGGTTACCTGGGATGTGAACATGTGAGTGTCATGGTTACCTGGGATGTGAACATGTGAGTGTCATGGTTACCTGGGATGTGAACATGTGAGTGTCATGGTTACCTGGGATGTGAACATGTGAGTGTCATGGTTACCTGGGATGTGAACATGTGAGTGTCATGGTTACCTGGGATGTGAACATGTGAGTGTCATGGTTACCTGGGGTGTGAACATGTGAGTGTCATGGTTACCTGGGATGTGAACATGTGAGTGTCATGGTTACCTGGGATGTGAACATGTGAGTGTCATGCTTACCTGGGTTGTGAACATGTGAGTGTCATGCTTACCTGGAGTGGGAACATGTGAGTGTCATGGTTACCTGGGATGTGAACATGTGAGTGTGATGGTTACCTGGGGTGTGAACATGTGAGTGTCATGCTTACCTGGGGTGGGAACATGTGAGTGTCATGCTTACCTGGGGAGTGAACATGTGAGTGTCATGGTTACCTGGGATGTGAACATGTGAGTGTCATGGTTACCTGGGATGTGAACATGTGAGTGTCATGGTTACCTGGGATGTGAACATGTGAGTGTCATGGTTACCTGGGATGTGAACATGTGAGTGTCATGGTTACCTGGGATGTGAACATGTGAGTGTCATGGTTACCTGGGATGTGAACATGTGAGTGTCATGGTTACCTGGGATGTGAACATGTGAGTGTCATGCTTTTGGGTTGTGAACATGTGGGTGTTGGGATGTGAACATGTGAGTGTCATGGTTACCTGGGATGTGAACATGTGAGTGTCATGCTTACCTGGGTTGTGAAGATGTGAGTGTCGGGATGTGAACATGTGAGTGTCATGGTTACCTGGGATGTGAACATGTGAGTGTCATGGTTACCTGGGATGTGAACATGTGAGTGTCATGGTTACCTGGGATGTGAACATGTGAGTGTCATGGTTACCTGGGATGTGAACATGTGAGTGTCATGCTTACCTGGGATGTGAAGATGTGAGTGTCATGGTTACCTGGGATGTGAACATGTTTGTCATGCTTACCTGGGATGTGAACATGTGAGTGTCATGGTTACCTGGGATGTGAACATGTGAGTGTCATGGTTACCTGGGTTGTGAACATGTGAGTGTCATGGTTACCTGGGGTGAACATGTGAGTGTCATGGTTACCTGGGATGTGAACATGTGAGTGTCTATCTTTTGCTTACCTGGGGGTGTGAACATGTGTGTCATGGTTACCTGGGATGTGAACATGTGAGTGTCATGGTTACCTGGGGTGTGAACATGTGAGTGTCATGCTTACCTGGGGTGTGAAGATGTGAGTGTCATGGTTACCTGGGATGTGAAGATGTTTGTCATGCTTACCTGGGATGTGAACATGTGAATGTCATGATTACCTGGGGTGGGAACATGTGAGTGTCATGGTTACCTGGGTTGTGAACATGTGAGTGTCATGGTTACCTGGGGTGTGAACATGTGAGTGTCATGGTTACCTGGGATGTGAACATGTGAGTGTCTTTTTTTACCTGGGGTGTGAACATGTGTGTCATGGTTACCTGGGGTGTGAACATGTGAGTGTCATGGTTACCTGGAGTGTGAACATGTGAGTGTCATGGTTACTTGTATCTGGAGCATGTAAGAGGTTTCAGGTACATCATGCTGTAAATCTTCACAAAACACTCACCTCAGTGAAATATTTAGTGAATTCGCTCTTCTCAACCGTGCCATCATCTGAAACATTTTGTCATGTTTGAGATTCGACAACCTGATCACTCTTGAAATACACTGAAAACCTCCACGTACTAAGCTGTGTTAACCAGGATGCCGTTGTACAAAGCCGTCTTAGCGCTAAGGTGATCGTAACTCCCATACCTTAACATAGACTTAGGACTGGCGTAGCGCTAAGATTGCTTTCTACAACCGCACCCTGAACGTCAAATTTTTGAGAATCTGAGGTTCTCTCAACTTGATAGCAAATTTCATGATATGATTCCTTCTTCTTTTAATTTGTGTCGCTAAAACCTCAGAACCCAGTTGATTATGCTGTGCCATACAAACCAGTGGTTGATATAGTGAGCAAGGTCCCACACAGTCAACGTAATCCCCGAGCCTCTCTGAGTACTGTGGACCGATACATCGTTGATATTTTACACCTATGAAAACTACAAACCATCAAGGAAGATTCTCAAGGCGTCTTCTCAAAATATATCCATCCATATCCCTCGATAAAATTAAATTAAATCGAAGATATTATAGCTATCACTGCAACTTTTACGTACAGTTTTGGTCAATCTTCTTGAAGTAAAGGTCAAGGTCAGAGTCCGTAATTCCACCGTCCCCGTCCATATCGAGTTCCAAGAAGAGGCCCTTAGCGATGACAGAAAGTGACTTCTGGTTTCCGCTGAACTTGTCCACGAACTCTTCCTCAGTCACATTCTTATCGCCTGCAAAGACAAGACTTCATATTTAGAAAGTAGTGATGGCTTGCCCAACCATTTTACCAACAATCATGTGTAAGCCCGGGCTTTTTTTGCAATGGTAGCTACGCCCTTGGTCGAAGGGGATAATGTTTGATTGTTTGTTTGTTGTTTTACGCCGCAGCTCCATGTCGATGGTCCATCAAAAGCACATCATGAGCATTCTGATACGATGACAGCAAGTCATCGAGAGGGTCCACTCAAGCAGCTGAGTGTCCTCTAACAACAAGCAATTGGGGTACATTATCCTCAGGGTCGGAGCCATGATTTATGTTACCAGGGGCCCCTTTCACGAAGCAACCTTTACAAAGGTTGACCTTAACTCCCATTCTTTAACACAGCTCAAGGTTACCTTAGTGAGGGGGCATAGGGGTATTTTGGTTCAGATTCTTCCAAAAGCACCAAATTTGGCACAGAGGTAGCTTAAGACATACTAAGCTTATTTCTGACGGGCGCCAAGATGGCCGCCCCCATATTGGACAAAAAACAAAATGGCGGCCATCCCGATTTAAGAAAAATTTTAGTCATAAATTGTCATAAATTGTACATAATCATGTTGTATATCAAATGAAACACAAAAAAAGAGCTTTACAGTGATATATAAATAAAATTTGTTTGAATGATATTAAAGAAGTTAGATGAAAATTAAGATCTAGAGGGTGGACCAAAAACATCAAAATGTCAATAAACAAACGAAGAAATACAAAATATATCCTCTTTCTTTTTCTAAGAACATGTTTTTTTATAGTTTCTTATCGATTTATGTAGAAAATGCCATTTTAGAAAAAAAATATAATATGGTTCACTACACAGAATGTGGATAATCTTGACAGCAAAGCACAAGGAAATTTCTCACAAGATGAATTTCATGGCTATGCACTCAGTGTGACCAATCATCTATCAAATGAGAATATGGGAGTAAAGCATGCTCCGATAAAACAGGATCCAATGGACACAACCCCTCCAAAGTTGCCGGACTTTTATACGATTCAACAACCGGTAGAACTCTCTGAGACAGATGTCTATGCTCCAAAAATCTACTACAAACCAAGTCCGACCAAGTCACCTTGTAGAAGATTCAATGGATAAGGATCAGGCATGGCTTACACTCGTCTCAGATGTATTGAACAAGGGTCCAGTAGAAGAGGGTGATATCATCACCTGGGTAGGGTACAACTTGTCTCTTGCAAGTGACAGATCTGTGAAACCTCCAGCAGAGATTTGGTATATATTCTTTCTTCC